GTAGCACATTTTTATTTTGACATGAAATTTACATTACTCCTGAAAAATGTATGAATAAACAGAATGCAAAATGATCTCTGGCATGTAATATATATGAATATGAACTGTCAAAAGCGGTGAAAAGGAAAATGGCCGCCATTACAGCTGTTCATACCGGTTCATACCCAATGTATGTTATGTACATACGCATAAAAACAAAGTTTTTAAATTTAATACATTTTGATACAGAATGTATTTCTTTTTATTTCAAAATATTTATCAGAAATAAATGTCTTAATAACAGCGAGAAATGTAGTGTCGATATACTCCATTATTGTTTACACGAAGTTTCCAAACGTTGCCAAAGAAGGTAATGTAATTCAGGAGTAATGAGATTTGTTCATTAGTATTCAAAGTGAATGCGTCATAGATTGATTTATCATTTATGTTTTACTGTCGGAATTTTTCCAAAAAAACGAATGAATTTATTCTTTCAAATTTTACAATTTATTAGTCGGTAATAGCAAGCACCCATGCGTATTATATTAAACTAATCATTTCAGTTGGTGTTTATTCAATTGTATAGGTACTTAAAATGTATTTTACAAATCTGACAGAATCTGACAGTTGCGGCGAGACTACGGGGGTAGGGGGCGCCATGAGTATCAAATCTCTACAGTTCATGGCTTATGCAAACTTCGTCTCGTCGTTACGCGGCGAGCGGAACCAAAAATTTGATAATAAATATTGACAAATTGTTTTCTTGCATCCTCACATTTGTATTGAAATAATGATAATTTTCTGTGATATTTATACTAATTTATTGAAATCTAGCATCATTGACTGTGATATAGCCATCCTTTGAGTTGGTGATTAACTTTTGACCGGTTATTGCTTTATAATGAAAATTATTTTCTTTTGTCAATGTTTTTGAAAAACTCATTGTATTTTTCTGTCTTTCGGTCTCTAGTAAATTTTAAATTTTTGACTACCAACAAGGACTTGTTAGATTAGACGTAAAGATTTCTTCAATATATCACTTCTTTGATAAATTGATTGATGAATTTTGCAGTCATAAGGCCAAAACTACAATGTTAACGCCTCCACTGGCCTTTCATTTTGGATATTTAGGTTAGGCTTTGTTGAATCGTTTACATTTCGGCTTCCTACTCATGTCCATGTATTGGTTAGGTTATTTTGTGTTAAAATGTTTATAGACCAAATACTTATTCCAATCAAGAAAGACTACTACTAAAATTATCACACACTAAATTGTATATACAAACACGAAAAGATCAGGTTTTTCACGACTCTTGGAGTCGTTTTCCTGCAAACAAAGTATTCAGCCAGTTTTTGGCGGTGTAAATAAATGAAATGAAATGAAACACTTTTGAACTTCGTATCCAAGATAATACAGCGTCCTAGCGTCACTCAAAATGATATCATTCTTTTTGAGTGGTAAATCCACGCACAGGAGCGTCACTCCATTTTAACCTCGTCTAGAGGTGTTTCATCTGATTTATAATATAAAAAGAATTAATTGCTCATTTTGTGTTATGTTTCTTCAATTCCTTCTACCAGTAGAGTAATGAATGTGTTTTGTTCAAAATGTATGCTCTTACATTTTGATGAGATCATTTTCCCACGGGGAATCAACAAAATTGACTGTTCCTCGATATTTCATGTTTATAAAGGCGTTGACATCAATGCTTTGGCCTTTCATGTATATTAAGAAAATTTATGTCATCGTGCAAATTATGTGCCCGTCCTCGTGCTTCCAATCCAAATTACTTGTCTTCCAAAATCATACGTATCACCCACACCAATTTCCGTAGCACTTATCACGGGAACTTATAAATATGCAATCACATACACACATACTTCTGTGTTTGTTTGTCTATCTATCCCTTGTTATGAAAAATGAGAAACGAAAAACAAAAAAAATTCCAAACACACTTCACAGGAAACTATATCGTCGCATCCGAAGAATAAAGAAGACGATGACATGGAAATTGTTGTAGTTAGTGACACAGTTCGCCAAAGACGCTCAAGAACTCCCTCGTCATCTGCTTCGACATCAAATGATAATGAAATCATGATTGTGAAAACACAGTCAGACGTATTACCCGATCTATTGCCGAAAACATTTCATCTTGCTGAATCGAGCACACTTTTCTTTCAAGCTGATAACTCGAAGAATCTATTGGTTCAAAAAGAAAAAAACAGAAGCAGCGAATCAAAATTTTCTATCGTTGAGATACGCGAAACAAATATACTATCACCCAAAAGAGCAACTTTCAAAACTCATGAAAGTTTTCAAAATCAGAATGTTAGTCATGTTTTAAATACATGCAGCATATTGGAATCGGTAAACTATCTGGAGCCAAGTTGTGTTGAAACTGTGCATATAATCGATGCATCATCTGAAGCATCTGATAACGAAACACCTTGTTCAACTCCCAATTTGGATGAAAGATCTGATAGCAGGATATCAAGCGATGAAGAAGAAAGTGATGAATTTGACTATAAGACTAATACCAAGAAGATAGTCAACAAGCGTTTGTCACTACAGATTCGAGATGTACTTGAAATAAATCGGCTAAACTTACCAAAAAATACCAAAGAATTTGACAGCTCATGTAAAATACCGCCAGAACCACAGCGTAAAAAGATCACTCCAACCTTAGAAGAAATTTTAAGTGCAACTTCGGATAGTGGCAGTTTAAACAGCCCCGATAAAGAGGTATTCGGAAGATCAATGACATTTTCGGTAGACGACTATAACAATCACTTGAATGGACAATCGACTGAAAAATTCAACCGAGATACGGTACTTATATAAACCCTCAAAATCAAACAAACAAAATTTTCTAAATTACTATGGCGACATGTTCCGTGCTAAAAAGTATACGTGCATGAGATTCAATTCGATTCTAAATCGCAAACTTCATATCATATATATATTATAGTATACTGTCAAAAAATATATGCATTTCTCATTACACAGTTCGACAGATGGTTTTTTTTGTCAGGCACAGAAGCTGGACAAATCAGGCGATTTAGAGGGCGAAAATTTAAGAACAACTGCGTTCTCAGAATATTAAAATTGGCTCAACTTTTTTAAATATCAAATTCGGCGTTTTACCTTTTCACCAGTATTCAAATGTAAAGAGATATTAAACAAATACCTTTTTTCTCCCATTAGTGATGGTTTTATAACCTTAGTATCTACTAAGAAAATTTTTGGCGTTTGATTTTAGGCGGAAATTAGTAAAAACTATACCCAAAAATTACATCTGGTGGGAGCTATGGGGCAAAATGTCGAGAAAATAGTCAATTTTTCCAGTTTTTCGGCCAAAGCTCGAGCAATATACATTTTTTTCACTTACTGTCTTCGGCAGGGGGATTACAGATTGACAGTTGCGCTACATGATGTATTCTGAATGAATAGTTCTGTAGCTTGCCGTATGTGATATTGTAGGGCAAACTGCGGCGCTAGTGTGCTTGTGTTTCAATCTACAAACCCCTGGTCTTCGGTAATATTGTAGCCAGAGTATAGCTTAAAGGTGGCAAACGGACGGACAGAGGACGAACATTTCGTGTACGTCCGTCCTTTTATTGATTTGGGACAAACGGACATTTGTCCTAATGTCCCATTTCAAATTAGGACAAACGGACATTTGTCCTAATGTCCCATTTCAAATTGGGACAAACATCCAGTGTAACCTATGAAATTGTTACATCTATGGACCATAACCTTTTCAATTTAAATTTAAATTTTCCAACTATTTACCGGTCACTAGTGTTTACTACGGTCCAAAACAGAGTATTTTAAACGAGTTAGTACAGTTTTTCATCACCCAGAATTGTTCGGAGCCATCCAAAGTGTTTAAAACAATTTAGTACCTAAAATCGAACGGCAAACATTTTCTTAGTAGATACTAAGGTTATAAAACCATCACTAATGGGATAAAAATGGTATGTGTTTAATATCTCTTTGCATTTTAATACTGTTGAAAAGGTAAAACGTCAAATTTGATATTTAAAAAAGTTGAGCCAATTTTAGTATTCTGAGAACGCAGTAGTTCTTAAATTTTGGCCCTCCAAATCGCCTGATTTGTCCGGCTTCTGTGCCAGAAAAAAAAACCATCTGTCGAACTGTGTTATTGAATAAATCCCCAAAAAAAATTTACGATACTAATTCTATCTATTTTCTACAGGATCGAATGGCAAAACCAAATGCTGGAAAGCCAACGGTGATGCACGAACGAAAACTTGAGCCAGTCGAAACGGAAAATGCCACTGAAAATCAATCAGAAGCGCACAAATCAATTACCACAAAGGCCAAAACTTTTTCGATGAAGAAAACATCAAATTCTAGATCTTTGTCCCAAAGAGTCTATGAATTTGAAAGGACGGCTCGTTATATGATAAAAAAACTGCAAGACACAAAAGAAAAAATCGATGCATCGATAATAGTCGCTGTTGACTCCGAAACAATTGAACATTTGCAGATGTTAGTTGCACCGGATGCAGCGACACTAATTTCACAAGGTGATTCATTGGTTTTAGAAACACATGGCAACGCATCGTCCGAACTCGCAAATACCGTGATAGAAATGCAATCGATTCTACGCGAAAAATTCCGAGAAGTTCAACATGCCAAGTGAGTTTTTCCCTTATCTCTAACTTAGTTGACCAAAGGAGCATGTTGTATTTTGATGTTTCTCAATAGATTATCAATTGAATGCCAGCAGAATAGTTCTTTGGAAGTGGGTCAAAAATTATTGAAGTATGAAAGTTTGGATAAAGAAATCAAATTAAATGAAGTATCAAAAGTACCTGCAAACAATATTGACGAGGACGCCTGGTATGTGTGCAACAAAGTATGGAAGCTTCTTCAGAGTTCCGTTAATGGGAGCAATGAAATTCATCTGAAACAACGACTCGCTGATATTAAGGTGAACAATTTTGCTTTTTTCATCAATTTCTTTTAACCGTTACGCGATATCTATTGGTGAGACATGAATGATCGTATATTATTTAGATTATTGTGTTTGGCAAAGAAAATTTGATACTTTTCCGTTAACATAGTCTGGTAGGGGAAGTATTGGTTTCACTCCCCAAATTTGATGATATCTATCTATAGATAGATAGCAGCTATCTAATAAAAATACTTTGTCTACTATTTACAGGGTGCGATCGAATAACTGTCGGTTTTACTTTTTGATATAAAACACACATTTTTCAATATAATCGAGTAATTCTTTTTGCACGTGGTAGATGCGGTCGGAATATTTTCATTTCAGTCGTCAGATTAAGATTTTCTAAAATTTTGGCTGAGCTAGAGCCATTGGTGTGCCAAAAAAACACCACCCGCAACACGCAACATTTTTGAGAATCGTCAACCCAAAATTTTATCATCCACTTATCAGATACACGAAAATCTTATATTGTCCTAATCGGTGAATCTTTGTGCTTCAATACAATGCAGCGTGGTTCAAAACTATCTACCACATAGCTCTCTGTTGACTGTTGTAGACATGTACCTATGATGGCCGATTCAGGCCAAATTTTCAAATTTTGAAATTTTACATTATTTTTTCGAAAAATAAAGATTTCATCACATTCAAATCCAAATAAATGATTGTGTTCTCATCTTCATGACTATTTAAATATATTTTCGCATTGCGATTTTAATTAAAATTGTGATTTTAGCCGATTTTTACAAAAAATTTGGAAAATCGAGGTCGGCTTTAAAAAAAGCTTATCGCCGCCAGCTGAGACATATCACGATAGTACTGATAGGTTTTTTTAATTCCCAAGGCATCATGAATTAACACTGCAAGAGCACAAATGATAATCTGTTCAGACGTGGCTGAGCGAGATCTGGGCTGGAATTCTAAGTCATTCCACCAAAATCGTTCGGAATTATTTTTTTCGTACATAAGACCATATTGGAGTGAAAGAGAGAGATTCCACTTTTTTTCAGCGTGCCACCGGAATTATTCCGATAACTCAAGGAAGAGTGGATTGTGTGAGATATAATTCCGGTGGCACGCTGAAAAATAGTGGAATCTCTCTCTTTCACTCCAATATGGTCTTATGTACGAAAAAAATAATTCCGAACGATTTTGGTGGAATTCTTAGAATTCCAGCCCTGGAAAAAACCTGAAAAAATTTTGTTTGAGGTTGCGTGCCAAAAGTGATATTTTTGAACATTTTTTTTGGTACATCTATGGCTCTCAATCGAATAAACTATGATGAAAATTCAGTCTAATGACTGAAATAGATGTGATAATGTTCAATCTACAAAATGGCAAAGAAAGTTTTCAATTATAATTGAAAGTGTGTATTTTAAGACCTGAAACATAATACCGACAGTTATTCGATCGCACCCTGTATTATTTATTTATTTATTTATTACGAAGCCTACATTTATACCAATATGTGCTCACAGCTAAAGGTGTCAACGGACAAACGGACAAACAGCCTACTTTTTTACACAAGTGGCCAAAATTATGTCTAATTGTACCAATAATATGGAAAGCTATATACCAAATTATAGGTTTTTAGGTCCTCTTTCCATCGATATATGAATGTTTCAGTTATTTTGAAATTTTTCTAACGAAATTTTTTGGACGGACAAAACCAAAATTTGTCCGCCCGTCCGTTTGAAAAATCTGCCTATCCAGCTTTTTCACCTCAAAATTGGCACCAAATCTTCAAAATAACTGTAATATTTATATATCGATGGAAAGAGGACCTAAAAACCTACAATTTGGTATATAGCTTCCCACATTATTCGTACATTTAGACATAATTTTGGTCACTTGTGTAAAAAAGTAGGCTGTCCGTTCATTTGTCCGTTGACACCTTAACTCACAGCGAGCTGTGAACATGCTAGTCAAAGACCTAATACGGTATAAATTCCGCCCATGGTGCGTCTTAAGGCCACACATGAAGGTGTCAAACGGACGTACTGAGTAGTATAGTTTTGTCCGGTCTTTTTAGCCCGTCCGTCCGTCCGTTCAGGGCTCTTGAATTTTTTTGTCCGTCCGTCCGTCCGTTCAGGACCCTCAGGAATTTTCTTGTCCGTCCGTCCGATCGGACAACGCTGAACGGACAAGAAAATTCTTGAGGGCCCTGAACGGACGGACGGACGGACAACAAAATTTCTAAGGGTCCTGAACGGACGGAAGGACGGACAACAAAATTTCTGGCGACTTTGAACGGACGGACGGACAAAAAATTTCGTTTTTCATTGATTTTTGACGTAAAAAATACTGAAAAAAATTTTTTAGTAGGGGAATTATGTGTAGGTTGACCCGCACTGATCATTTTAGTCATAACTTTTTATGGAATAAAGATAAATGCACACTTGATATACCATTGGAAAGAGAGCCGAAAAAGCTACAATTTGATTAGGAAATTCATTAGCTATGGTTGTAAAAACAAAATAGTTCGGTCAATTTTCTAGGAGGTCTGATTTTTGGCAACAAAATTTTTTCTTTGTAAGTTGACCCACCCTATTTTTTTTAGGAAAACATGCAGTATAAACTCTCAATATATGAAATTCATTGAATTTCGTTGGATTTTCAATCGTTTTTGGTCTCTACGAAAAACAATGAAAAAATGTAGAAAAATATAGAAATTGTAAAAAAAATACATATTCTCTTTTTTTTTATATTTCATCGATTTTTTGTGTTTTTCAAGTCCAAAAACGATTGGAAATTCATTAAAATTCAATGAATCTCGTATATTGAGTGTTTACGCTGAATATTTGTCTCATTTTTCCGATTTTTTTTCGGGTGGGTCAACTTACAAAATTGGTCGACATTTCAATGTGCACGGAAAGAATTTCGCCATGTAACGATATGCGTGAAATGACTTAGGATTATGAAAATACACGAAAAACTAGTGAAGAAAGCTTATACTCGCTTTGCTGATATCTTTGGAATTGTCTACTTGATGATGGTCCGAAAAAATTTAGTTTTTATAAAAATGATTTTTTTTTTGCAAAAAATTTTTATGAGCCGATCCGAGCCGTTTAATAAGCGTATTTACTCTTGAGAATTGAGAAAAAATCGATTGAGACTAGCCAAATTAACGATTTGTCGGTCAAAATACAAAATCGGCGGGGTGGGTCAACTTACAAAGTGGGTCAATTTACACCAAGGGGGAAATCACTAGAAAGTAATTGCAGTAATAGCAAAGTAATAGTTGAAATTCAAAAGTAATAGCAATTATTTTTTGTGTAACTATTACTTTGCTATTAACTTGCTATTATGTCCAAAAATCAACAATTACTTTGCTATTACTTTATTTTTGCTATTAGTTTGCTATTACTTTTCAGATTTGCATGGAGAAAAGTAATAGCAAATAGCAAACTAATTGCAAGCAATAGTGGCCAATAGCAAAGTAATAGCTGAGTGATTCCCCCCTTGATTTACACATATTCCCCCTAACTGATTTGTAATCAGCTTCCCATTTGAAACAGCTCAAACCTATTTTCACGTCAAAAAACAATGAAAATTTTTCGGCGGACACGAACAAAACGTAATTTTTTGTCCGTCCGTCCTTCCGTTCAGAGCCCTCCAAATTTAGTTGCTTGTCCGTACAAGGTGCTTGTCCGTTGACACCTTTAGCTACACACAGAAAATAATCCCCGGAATTTCGAGGTGTTCGCCGGAATATTTGTCATGTATATGTAAATTTCTATATAAATTTTCACGGTAACACTTCAAATTTACCGGCACTGACATAATTTCAAACATTCTATCCGTGAGTTTTGAGCATCATTCATCTACTTTGCCTACATTCCACCAAATTCACCGCAATCAATTTACGATTCATATCTAGCAGCCATGCACTGCACAGAATCGCTACCGATCCTGAAGATGTTGTTATTTTTGTTGGTGATTTTAATCTGCCGCATGTGGTATGGTCAACTGACTACGACAACATTACACAGTTCTACCGATGGTTTTTTTTGTCTGGCACAAAAGCCGGACTAGATCAGCGTTTTAGAGGGCCAAAATTTAAGAACAACTGCATTCACAGAATATTGAAATTGGCTCAACTTTTTCAAATATCAAATTCGGCGTTTTACATTTTCACCAGTATTAAATGCAAAGAGGTATTGAACAAATACCATTTTTCTCCCATTCGTGATGGTTTTATAGCCTTGGTTTGTACTAAAAAAATGTTTGAAGTTCAATTTTAGGCGGAAACTAGTGAAAACTACACCCAAAAATTACATCTGGAGCTATGGGGCAAAATGTCGAGAAAATAGTCAATTTTTCCAGTTTTTCGACTAAAGCTCGAACAGTATACATTTTTTTCACTTACTGTATTTGGCAACATTGTAGCCAGAGTATAGTTGAGCAACACTCCTGAACACATTAACTCGAAAAAACTCCATCCAGCCCACTTTATGGGCTCAAAATCACTTTTCGCTATTAAACGGTATTTTCGTGCATTTTCGAAGTCCTGCAACTTCTCAACTGCTTAAAATAGAGCAATAGTGTCTGAAAGAACTTTTTAGTACTTCTCAAGAGCTTTGCAGGCCTAGTACTAAAAAGTACTAAAAGTGTACTAAAATGTACTAAAAAGTAATAAATTGTTTTAAACACTTTAAATGGCTCCGGGCAACTCTGGGTGATGAAAAACTTCACTAACTCGTGTTAAATATTCTGTTTTGGACCGCAGTAAATATTTGTGACCGGTAATTAGTTGAAAAATTGAAGTTTGAATCGAAAAGGTTATGGTTTATAGATGTTACAATTTCATAGGTTACACTGGTCATTTTTCGATTCAAATTTCAATTTTTCAGATAAGTGCCGGTCACTAATGTTTACTACGGCCCGAAACAGAGTATTTAATATGAGTTGGTAGAGTTTTCCATCACCCAGAGTTGCCCGGAGCCATCCAAAGTGTTTAAAACAATTTAGTACTTTTG